CCCCCCCCTCGATCCGTCTCTCCCCCCTCCACGAACTCAATCGAACACCATCATACTTCCAAACGTCTTGGTCGAATCTTCCCCCTTAACCTAGTCAGAGCGCGGCTGATATGGTGGCGGGTTCTGCCTGTTGCTGTCCCAGGTTCAGGGCATGTTGCCAGCGCAAGGGGGCGGGCTTGACCCGTGGGACGGGATCTGATGGGGCGATGCCCAAAGCCTTGCCTGTTCTCCCTCCAGGTCGTCGTGCTCACCAACTCTACCCTGGACGAACAGCTGAGGCTCGGCGAGTTCTGTCACTGCAAGGGGATCAAGTTCATTGTGGCTGACACCAAGGGGCTCTTCGGGTGAGTGAGGGAAAGAACTGGGGAGGGGGGGTGCAGGGTAGAGAAACGGTGACACCTTCACCACCCCACCTTTTTGGCATCGGCCAGGATCAACCGTCGATAAACCCCAGTCTCCTCCCTTCCCCAGGAGAAAGGGAGATCTGCCATCCTTACCCAATCTGGGTCGGTGGCTGGGTGGGTGGGTGGAGGGGTGGGGGGGTGTCCACGTGACTCCAGACTATACGCAGTGACGTGGTTGGCTCTGACCTGCCCCCTCCAAGGGCCATTCAGTGGCTTTTCTCCATCGGCCTGCACTCCCCCTTCAACCTGTGACTAATTGTCTACTCTAATTCAAAATCTATCCATTTCCTCAAATTCAGAGACCCTGGGGTTGTGGAGGGGGAGGGGGGGGGCGGCAGGCAGTGGGGAGCGGTGGGGATGGGGGCAGGGCAGCGCGGTGTCAGTCGTGCTCTGGGGCAGTGGATTGCATCGATCCAAGTCCCTGAAAAACCCCTGCCACCTGACCTCTGTCCTGTGTCTCCCATCGCCCTCGTTCTAAAGCCACGACTCCCTCACCTGCCCGCGAGAGCAGGCTGGTACAGCTTGATCTAACACCTCCATTGGAAAGAGGTCCCCAGTTCACGGCCACCGAACGTGGTGGGGTGGGGGGCAGAACTCGACCCCACCATCTTGTAGCATGGGGGAGCTAACGCACTGAGCCCCGAGAGAAATGGTGGGGCGGGGGGGGATTCTTCTGAGTTGAGACCCCTCCCTGAGGTGAGCGAATCCCTCCCAGCTGTGGACTTTGCTGTCGCGCCGCAGATGCAGGGAGGAAACACCACCCCCCCTGCAAGCTTCCCCCCCTCACCTTGCCCCTCAAACAACACCATCCCAACTGGGAACGATATGGACCATTTGTTCAGTGTCACCAGGGTCAGAATCCTGGGACTCGCTCTCTAATGGGGGCACTGCGCAGGGTATCCTTACGCTGTGAGGGGTGGGGGCACGGAAGGGAGCCACCTCCTCGAAGGGCAGTTAAGAATGGGCGACAAATGCTGACCTAGCCAGGGCCACCCACGTTCCTACCAACAAGTATTGCTCGGCTGTGTCCCGTTTGAGCAAACTGATGTAACGTTCCGGCCCGCTGCGGTGAATTCTCGGCGTTGCCCGTTCCCTCAGTCACCAGCCACTTGCCTCTTTTGTTCCCCCACCCCCTACAGGCAACTGTTCTGCGACTTTGGCCTGGAGATGATTGTGCTGGATATGAACGGGGAGCAGCCTTTGAGCGCCATGATCTCCATGATCACAAAGGTGGGCAACTGCCAGTGTTGTTTTTTCTCCTCCCGTCACCGGGAGGCGCCTGTCGTCGGGGGGGCGGGGGGGTGGAGGATGTACGTTGGGTGTGTTAACTTCCTGCCGCCTTTGTCTTCCAGGACAGCCCTGGGGTGGTGACCTGCCTGGATGAGGCCCGGCACGGCTTCGAGACCGGAGACTTTGTGACGTTCACCGAAATCCAGGGGATGAAGGAGCTTAACAACTGCGACCCGGTGGAGATCAAAGTGTTAGGTCCGTGACACTGTTTCCCC